TCCAGCCCCAGCAAGTCCTGTCACCCAGCATCCCCGTGCTGGCCCAAGCCAACCACTCCAAGGCTCCTCACACTTGGGTATCACTGCACTCAGAGGGGTCTGTGCTCTCCAAGGGTCCTACATAGACCAGAACTGCCCCATCACACGGGTCTCCAGGTCCTGGGCAGCAATGGGGACCCTCCTGCCAATCTGTCTGCCCACCAACAGTCCTGTCCCTATGCCTGGGGTGTGTGCCCCTAAGAGCAATATTTTGGAAAGCCCACCAGCCCTATCCCCTCCCTAGCAGCTTGTGGGGTGCCTAGCCCCATGCCTCCTGCACACCAAGGTGGGAGCTGGCTATAAAGGGCACCAGTGTGTCAGCCGTCCCATTAGCAGGGCAGTGGCTTGGTGCAGGAGCAGGCTGTCGGGAAGAGAGGATGGCGATAAGGCAGAAGCCAGCAATGGAACTTGAGCAGCCATCTCCCTCCCTGGTGAGCGGCCCCAGCCTGGCATACAGAACCACAGCCCCTCACCGTCTTATTGGGCCAGTTGTACTTCTCAAAGACGTCCTGCACCCGGTCCTCGCCACCGTCTGTGAACATCATGATCATCTTGTTGCAGTTGGCACGCGTGATGTTGGACTGTGGGGCAGAGAGATGGTGCCTGAAGCCAGACCCAGAGCGAGGAGAGCTGACCCAGACCCATCTCTTTTCTTGACTACTTTCTCTGGGGTGAGGGTGGCTGGCTTGAACAGACAGGAGAAGGGACACTGTCTACTTGGAAATGATGTTGTGGCTATTGCTGCTTGGCACCTAACAGCATCATTCATTTTTATTTTGCCTCTGGCATGGTGCCTGGCTGGATCCAGGCCCCTCTGCCCAGCTCTGCTAATTTTAATAACCCAGAGGGGCAGCAGCTCCAGCAAAACCTCAGCTACAGTGTGCTGGGGGGTGGGATGTCCTCCCCAGCATTGCCAGGGAGGCCAAGAGGCTCTCTGTGTGCTGAAATCCCAGGCGCAGAGCAGCAGCTGGGTGCTTGGGAGCTCTCCCATTGCCTCCAACATCCATGGGTGCACTCCGCCTCCCCCCAGCCCACAGCCTTGCCCCCAGCTCACGTTCTGCAGCTGGTCGAAGGCATACTCAAAGCCAGCCTTGTAGTCGGTCGTGCCCTTGGCCACCATCCCCTGCACGTCCTCCTTGAAGACCTTCTTGTTCCGGATGTTGGCCTGCACCAGGTGCTTGAAGCAAGACACTGGCTTCGCCTTCTCATTGAACTGGGAGGCAAAAAGGAGGAGAGCGGGTTGCAGAAAGGGGATGGGGGCAGCCCCTCGCAGGCACAAACCACCCATCACGCTCAGCTCCCACAGATGTGAGGTAAATGGAGGGTCCTGTGTCCCACGTCCCAGGGATGGTGAATGCTGTGACCAGGGCTTAGCCTGGGCCAAATCCAGCACTGACATGCCTAGTGTGGGCCTGCAACCTTGC